TAGTTAAGTAAAGGGATGTACAACTAACATGCCCCAAATGTGGATATATTCTAACCATGATCCATCTCATAAACTGCTACAGTAACCCAACCAACGACACCAGCGTTTTCAACCCAATCAAGAATAGCAATTACAATACAATAACGCTACACACATCTGCCGAAAGATATATTAAATAAAATTTAGATATACATAATTCTTAATGTGAATATAAGCACAGAACGAAGGACCTAGTATCTAGTTCCTTTTTCTTAATTAATTTTTAAATTAAATTTAATGTTAATTCAGAAATAAATAAATGATTGTTAAGTATGTTTATAATGTTATTTTATATAGCTAAGATATCTGAAATTACACATACTATAAAATAATACTTAAATATACACTATGCTGATCTGAGAAAACCTACAATTCAATTTATATTGTAGTCCTATAATAATATTGTTGTAGATCTATAATAATAGGTCATATTACAGACAATAAAGAGATTGATTTTCAATTATTTTCTTACATTAATCATAGCTGTCCTGTTCCTGAATAAGCCAATGCAAAATTTAATGCTTTTTGCTATACATTTGGCTGTTCGTAATTAAGATTATCATATGTATATGCATATACTTATTTCTCTTGCAAAAGAACTCTTTTTTTCTTTGCTTCCTTGAAACTTTTTCCCATTCTCTTCTGCCTATGTCATATATTACACTCTATCAATGTTCTCTCGTTCTATCGAAGCTGCTTTTCTGCCAAGTTTATAGTTTGCTCATTTAGCTAGGTTACTAACATACATGTCCAGGATCCCGACAGACGTTGACTTTGTTGTCCTTGCCAATTTATTTAGTTTCCGTAGACAGTATTATACTTTATTGGAATCAATATACCACACGAAGTTTACCCTCGGAACAAAGTAATTTATAGTATAGAATTCATAATGTAATTTAAAAAATTACCAATACTTAAATTATCTCCCGGATTACAGAATGTTGATATTGTATACTAACATATGGTATTAATATAATGATTCTAGAGATTTTATTTTTTCTATTTTAATGGAACAACAATACATTTAAGTCCACGTAAACCCACTAAATCCAAAACCCACTAAATATAAGTAGATGGAAGTTAACACACACAAGGTTCTAGGCCACCAGAGAAATGGAGCTTAATGTCCATAGTATGGTATTTCTTTTTTTTTATATATATCTAATATTTAGCTTGTCGAATACAGAATAGAAAAACATTCGTTTACTTAGAGATGCTAGTAGTGACTTTTTACGTTATTATACTATTTTCTATCAGAGAGTTAATATCATTTTAAGGCTTTGCTCTATATAGTTGATCCGGTTTTTGCAATACTCAATATATAAATATTATAAATTTCAACAGAATTTAAAATGATAGCGCAAATCAGGTTGAAATTTAATAATTTATCTGATAATTTTTATTGGCGCACTTATGGTTAGGTGCTTAAGATATTTTAGGAAAACTCTATCACAAGAAATTCTAAGTACATATGTACATATATGAAATTATTCCCTTCGTTTTATTGACAAAGAAAATGCTATAATAATTTCTTCCAATAAGTTATCTATTTTTTATTCTTTTGCATCAAAACATCCATTATTTTTGCTAATTTGAGAATTTACTTTAATAAGTTCCTTGATATGAAATTTGTTCTCTTTTTAATTCCAGTATATATTTTTAATGATGTGATATGAAATTTTACTGCTATATTTTAATATATTCTATATTTTTCTATGTGGCAACAAAGATGGAACAATAGCACTCAAGGAAGATGGACAGCTAAATTGATACCAAATATAATAACTGGGCTCAAACGGAAATCGGGAGACGCAAATTACTATCTCACTCAGATGCTGACCGGAGATGGATACTTTGTAAGTACCTGTACCGGATAAGAAAGGTGAATCTATCCGACTGTATGTATGGCGATGGAGACTGTGACGACGCAGAGCACACCTTCTCCTACTGTAATAGATGGCAGATAAATAGAGAAAAGATATTAGTACAGATTGGACTTATAAATCCCGAAAATATAGTGGAAAAGATGACATCGAACGCAGAGAGTTGGAGAACGATAGAGTCATATGCGACTTAAGTCCGTAAAACACAGAAATTATACCTAGAAAGGAGAACCAGAAATGAGAATAATAAATAGTGCAGACACCAAAAAAATGCGGTGAAAAAGTGATGGTCTGAACGCAGATCGAAAAACACAAGAGCGTGGCTTGAAATGCCAACACAAAAAAGACTCTCCTCCAAATTATGCCAAAAGCGTTTTCGAGGGGGAATAAGTCTCGCCGAAGAGGAGGTGTTTTAGTCCGTATGCTATATATATTTGACTGTGCATAAAGCATTTAACCTCCTCACCACAAAAAAAAAAATATATTCTTATATCTGCAAAATATATGTAGATGCAACTGAATAAACAATATACTTACATAATATATACATATGTATGTATAATATTTAAGAAAAGAGTGGAAAAGAGTCGATAATTATATTTTAAGACTAATTTGTATTAAATTATTCAAAAATAAAAATAAAAATTACTTTACACAAGTTAATTACATAAAATTTATAAATATTTAACTGCATAGCATTTATATGGTATAAATTCTATTCTAATTTCTAAAAGTGTGTCTTGTATTTAGATTACATTATTTTTAAAAACATTATAAGTAATCTGATTGAAAAAGTTTTTAACAAAAAATATATAAAATAATGAATTATCTTTCATTCAGTGTACTCAGGCAACAAAATGTCAATAAAAATATTTAATTTTTTTCATAATTTAATTAAATGTATATCTGAAGTTCTTCATACAGGCAAAAATTACTGCAGATATGTTATATGTACATAATCGAATAGTAGTTTAGTGCATTAGCAGTGGTTCATTCTATGGTGCCATCTATGTTTCAAAAAAAAAATAATAAAAACTTTTGTTGCATTTTCACAAAAAATTGATACCAAACCATTCCTACTTTCACCATGCAATTTGGCCCATTATTAAAATTTTTTTGCCTCAGCTCTGCAACCTACACAGAAATCGGTATCAACTAAATGTGCCTATGTCAAACGAAGTCTCCACTGTATACCAACTAATTTCTACGCCCACACATAAATGATTCTTTTATACTTCCTGATTAAGAGACACAATATCTGGTTTTGGAATTGTATATAAAGAGGTTAAATATAAATAAATAAATATGTAGACAAAAAAACACTGAAGCATAAATCCATTTACTGTTCTACACAATCTAGGCCGCTGTCAAAACGGCCTAGAGATTGTAAAGAAATGCACCAATTAAATATATTAAATTTCTTTTTAAATATGTTCATGTTTATATTATATATCAAACAATATTATTTTTATATAATAAATTTTATTGCACGGAAAGTATATTATATAAAATTAGTTAAATATTAAAGCAATGGCAACGTGAACACGGAAAAGGCCAATTACTGGATAATATTGCTAATACAACATTTCTACAAAGAAGGAAGGGAATCAAATATTATTTTCTTTAATCAATTTTTCTTTAGGTTATCATGTTGAGCTACATATTCCAGAATGTATGGTCTACATCAGGCTGTTCACACCAGGGCCGCAGAAACAAATACATATGTACGTTCATATGTTTTCGACAAAGATAAAAATTCGGTTATAATGTTTAATTTGGTTTTATTAATTTATCAATTTAAATTTATTTATTTGGCATACCATAAAAATAAAATAATGTGGTTTTAGAAGTACACCAAAACAAAATTTGCGTGGTTATGATGATGAATTAAATAAGTGACTAAGCAAGATAGTATATTATTGCAGAGGGGATAATATATTTCAAAGAATTGCTTGTGAATACCTAGAATAAAAACAACTTGCAAATTAAATAAATTAATTATCATTCAACCTAGGTGATTGTGGTTGCGCTAGGAAAGTTACGTTTGACATAATCTGCCCTAATGTGATGGATATGTTGATCGGACATATATCAATAACTCGAATAAGCAATAAACGCATTAAAAAAAACATCCTTTGTTGACGTATGGGTATAAGTGCCGCTCGATATCCCACAAGACAATGCTTTTACAAAAAAATTTAGACTCTTTAAAAGGTCTCAAAATTATAACGTGCACAGTCCATTACATTACCATAGTACAATTTTATAGAAGTCTTGCCCATATCACTTTTACATATATACATATTTTTCTTTATCAGCTGTCTAGAGTAAGCTCTTTCATTATTCTTATTACTTCCTGCCCTAAAAAAGTATCCTTGACTCTGCCCGCATATATACCAGTGAACTCAAGATCCTCACAATCAACAACAAAAAATCTTGAGTCTTATACTAGAAAGCATGCTTATATACTCCAGTATAACTATTTCGTGGTATATTGATGATAATTTAAAGTTATCTCTATCTAACACATGTGCACATAATATTTACAACCTCTACATATCCTTGTGATATTAGAAATAGACTAAATTTCAGAGTTGAAATACTTTAAGAATCACATAAGCACACTGAAAACAAATATGTTTATTTATAAACTTGGAGCAATTCATATATGTATATATGTGTACCTTTCTCTTCTTTTTGACTACATACGAAAAATTTTCCATTCATATCTGTAATGGAAAAAAAAATTTTTCTGATATATGTATGTATGTTTTAAATTGATCAATCCGCTTTAAGAGTACGAGAATTTCGACTTCCAAACTCTATATTTGTATAGAGTATATATGTATACTCTAATTTAACATATAAATGTGTCTACTTCATTCTGGATAATAATGACAAAAATGATAAAGTCCTGAAACAGTTAATATTAAGAGACTATTTTAAAAATCTACGGCTAAATTAAGATTTTTAAGATCCAACTTGTAAGGTTCAATCAGTATGGAATAAGATATTGATAAAATCTTCCATAATGAAAGACTTTGATTAAGACACTCGTATTATAAGTGATCATTTATTTTCTCCAATTTTATTTTTTGTATAATAAACTTCAGTATTTCATATTGCTCTAACTTTACATAAATATGCAACCAGGCTTATATGCCCAACACCACTGTAATAACATATGCAATAAGATTTAATGTACAATATAAATATGTACTTATAGTTAAGTTTAATACACATATTTATTATTTTATATTTATATTTTAAACATCAATCAATAATATTTTGGAACACATCTTTTCTAAAACTCGCACTTGCCAGATTGGTTTTTTAAAATATTATCGCATTCGTTTATTATTTTTATTTTTTCACTAGCGTCATCTATGACTTGGCGCACCTCTGACTCTAAACTTGTCAATTTATGCCTTGTAAGTAGCAAATTAATCAGCATAAACTCCATTGATCTTTCACCACCTTCAGCAGTGGCAACTTTCAGGTCGCTTACAAGTTTTAGAAAATCTTTTAAGATATCTAATTTTATATCTGTTTCATTATCGCCAGCTGCCACAATTATTGTGATAGCATCCGCTGTGGTACCCGTTCGAATGATAGCCCCTCTTAATAACTTATTTAGGTAACGTGTGGTAAGTTTAACTTTAGCAGCTATTGTATCGCTGCGTCCAGTCAAGTGCGAAATTTCTTTATTGAAACCTTGTACGGCTCTTCTTGTCTCTTGCAGTTTCATGTCGAGTGTTTCATCCAGTTGCTGTTTTGCAGAAAGGAGGTCTGCACTATAACCTGATGTTGTAACTTGAAATTGTGTTGTCTCTGCATTCTCGGCCTGTAAATTTTGTGCCTCTACATTCTCCGTAATTTGTGTTTGATTTAAGTCCACTTGCTCTTCCGAAGACTCGTTGCCATCTTTTATATGAAAATTAATAGCAAAATGGAATAAAGTATTGCCAAGACAAAACTGTAATATATTACAACATTATTTTCATTAAAGTTATTCATTTCAAAGTAATCTTTTTACTTGAGTATAGCATGTTATAAATAAAATGATTAACAGCGATGCCCGCAATCCCATTATATTCTTTGCTTTTCTAAAATTGAACTAAATTGTTCGATTCTCCAATAAAAAATTGAAGTGACATTTTTGTATTTATAAAAATTTATCAGTAATCAGAAAATATGGCGGAAAGGTTGAAAGGGTCAAAAGAGATTAAACTGCTAAGTATTCAGATGTGCTTCTTTAATTGTTATTATATATATACTTATATATACATTTGCAGAAACACTTACAGCTATAGAATAAATGAGGGAACAGAGAAAAGAAAACAAAATAGTTTTTAAATAAATAAGCACTTCGGACTTAATTTTTCTTTGAGTTATTCTATTATCAGAGGGTACACGATAAAATCCATGAATTTTCGAATCTAAATTTTATTCAGAACTAATATTTCTCAACTTAAGTCTTCTTTTAGTTCATTATGATTACACTTTGTTAACTACTCTGGAATTATTTGATTTCTTTTAAATCAAGGTTTTTTTAAGATCCTATTGCCTTAAAAGAGAAATCTCTTTTCTTTAAAATTCATTTGTTGTTTTGTCACGTCTCAATGTCTAGACTTGTATTTACCTATATAACATAAAGAAGTGTTTGCGCTTGTTATGTAACATAATAGGTAACACAATACCAAGGAGGAAAAAATATTAAACTAACAAATTAATTCTCCAATAAATTATATTCATAAATTGCTTGATTATTTACAAATTTGTGAATGACGAAATTTGCTCTATTAAACATATGTCTTGAGGTCCTCTGCTCCACAACGAGACAAAGGAATTAAGAAGAAGAATATACAAGAAGGGAATAGAAATGATATCTTCATTGTTGTTCTTATTTCGGCGAAAAAGCATTCAAAATTCTTCTTCTTGTTTAAGTGCACTAAGTTGTAAGTTCATATTCTGCAAAACCGGATGTACAATCTTGGCAGTATTTCAGAAACTTTGAGTGATAACTTAGTATTAAGGACGAAACCTATATAATGCTAAAATACTATTATTTCATACTGGACATCAGCTGGACATTTAAGCTGTCTTGTAATTTCCAACAAACATCAAAATGGATATAGTAAATTACATTTGTTATATAAGAAATCGATAGAAACAGTAAATTGAATTTTTTTTTTACGTTCTTTTTAATTGTTTATGTAAATGACTAGGTACCAGGTCAGTAACTGATGATTCATTGAAGGGTATATCCTCAGCCCAGAATAAAAAAAAAGCGGAAATAAGTACTATATATAAACTGTAATTAAAATACATAAAAACCAAATTTTATTGTAAAATATATTGTAGATAGATTCAAGGTCATGTCCTTGAAAAAAAAGAGTATTTTTTTAAGCATATAGTATATGTATACGATAAAAAAATTTTATACGCATTTAAAAACAACTAAGCTGTATACAAAACATATATATATATATATTTATAAAATATTACAGCTGCAAGGGGAGTTCTTATTTGGCAATATACACAGTTCACAACAAAACATAAAGGACGAAAAACACGCGCATGCTACTTCCTCTCTTAAGCGCCATGGTTACTATGACGTAAAGAGGGTTGGTTATACATTTAAGTGGTGCCCGTATTAGTGCCAGCATTTTGAAGGAATTGATAGCATATAAATATTTTCCCAGTATTTTGAGTCCTGGTTTTCATTTATTGTATAATAGTAAATGAAAAAAAACAGTTATATTTTATTTGTAAAGAGTATAATAAAATAAATAATAATAGCATAAAATCAGTGTTCTAATATCCTTATGGTGTGAAAATTTTATTGTTCTTAAATGGACACCCCATTAACTTCCGCCCGGTTTCTGAAATACTTGGCGGCATATAATTTGAAAACGCTTTTGACATTGCTTTACATAAGCAATCTATGTATGTATGTGTTAATATACTCACTTCATAGGATATGTGCATGCGCAATATCAGCTACCCCCATAAGATTTATAAATATATGTATGTATATTTATCTGCCCCTGCAAATTGTTTACAAATGAATATACGGAAAAACGTTTTCAACGTTACACACTTACATACATCTATGGTCTATTTGCAGAAATCAAACCACCCAAATCAACGGTTATTGTACTTAGTTTCCCAGGGCTCAGCATAAGTATATATGTAATATTTATATGCGTTTGTATGTACAGCTCGGAAAAGGTATTATTATGCTATTGCGTTTCAGAATTTCGTAACGTTCATCTTTAAATTTGCTAAAATTTTAAAGCGTACTCAAAAAAAATCGTTATTTTTGCAATTGTTCAAACTTTAATACCATACATAATGATAGGTTTGCTAGTTTAATTATATACTATTTATTTACTTTCTATAATTTTTTAGTAAAATTTGCATATTTAAAAAGTAGGTTTATATCATATAGTTAACAATTATTCGACCTTGTCTTTGGCTGCTCCCAGGCAACTTCAAACACTACTAGAATCATTAGACCTTAGTCCCGTAGAACATCTGTGGGTTTATTTGGAAAACAAGATTCACCAGCACACGATTTCCAGCAAGCATACGATAAAAAAATGTAATCAAGGAAGAAAGGCTAAAAATAAACGCATAAAATACTACAAAGGTGCTTGAGTCCATGTAAAGACGCCTAAAAGAGGTTATTAAACGTAGACGTATACCCACAGGCTATTAAATTGTAGATTTCTGTTAATTTGAAATGATTTAATTTAATTATTAAGAACTGACCGCAGACTTTTGTTTTGCATATAATTGTGTTTAACTTTTTTTTTTTTAAATAACTGTTAATTTTTTATGTTTGAATTTTATTGTTGTTTCTTTGCTTAAAATATGTATATCAGAAAACAAAAATCAATTGGAGTAAAAATTAAAAACGTTTATGCGAAATTTAAGAAACATTTTTATGGGTGACCGCAGACTTTTTCTGCTGTGTGTATATTTAATGTGTAAAATGAAAAATAGTTTTTGATATATATGAAAATACTATAACTTTAATATTTTGTGGAATTATTCTTAAAATGAAAGGCAGTAAAAATATAAATTCATTAATTTATTTCATTATTTACAAATATTGAAGTAGTCATTTATTTCTCTAACTGCAGTTTATATGTAGTTATACATATGTACATATATCTTCAACTGTATAATAAAATTTATTTTAAAACATAAAAAGTTACATTTACATTTCATACTTAAAATATACTAGAAAATATATTTATTATAATATTTTTATTTCGATCTATATCTTTTTAAATAAGTCAAAACCTCTATTTGAAAGTCTAGCTTTTCATCAATACTCATTAATCTAAGTATTGGTTTTATGGAATCGAAAAATCCTTGATCAGGATCAGATTCGATGCAATTCATATCTATCAGGTTTTGTTCCTTAATAGTTATTGTATTATCTACTTGTTTATCGGATGTTAAGACATCTGTGGAACTTTGCTCACTGTATTCACTAGCACTGTCGTTATTATTACTCATTTGAGATAGTACTTCAACTTTTGTATGTTCAGGCATTAACTCTTCTAGATCATCTGCGATAGTACTTGCTTCGCAGTTAACAAATTCATTTTCTAAATCGAAAAAGTAGCGTCGGTGTTTTCTTTGGGAAATTATCGAATCAGCTATTTCTACAATAGGTTTCGGTTCTTCATCTAAATAAACGTTTAATGTATCATCAGATTTCAGTTGAATAGAAGTTCCATCACTTGGAGAAAATAAATTATCTGAATTGTTATTAGATTTTAATAAAAAGCTAAGTTCTCTATGGTATATGTATGGTCTGGCGCGCTTTATTTGCGGAGTTGATTGTAGACGTACATGCCGGTGAAAACTATCGCGCGTATTTTTCCAACGTTTTGATAATATATATTCTGTAAAATTACATATTTTAGTACAGTTATATATGTACATACATATATAAAAATCGTATAAATATTTATTTTTTGTTGAAAATAATATAATCTATGTTTCAAGTCTTTGAAAATTTTGAAAGTTTTGCAACCGTATATGATGCAAATACTTTACAATGAAAGTATTTTCGCTTGTTATTCACATATTTTTAGTAGCAGTTATATATGTACATACCATAGTAGTTCATGATGACTGTACTACTGGAAAGTAGTATTATTGGAAATTCGCAATTTAGCAGTGGATTTTTGTAAAGTATGTACTATTTAGAGCACGTTTTATATACACTGCAATATGTCAATATAGCTTGGTTCTTGAGATATAGGAACTTCAAGTTGAAAATATTTATTTAAGACATTACTTATGTAATCATTCTTTATCATTTTATGTCAATATTATAATTTTAGATCCTCCTTAATGATAGGCACAATGATATCTGCCGAATCAAGTTATATTGATTAAAAAGCTATAGTGAAAACGTATGTAGTTTCTCTCAATCATAGGTACTACTCGTACCATTTGTTGACAGATTTTGGTAAAATCTATTATATTGAGCAACATTTTCTACTATCTTGTAGTTTCTTCGACATAATTTTTTATTCTAAAAACCATCTGGCTAGCCTAGTTATTGTTACTCAACGTTTGTACCATCAATGTAAATCGTATTGGAAGAGCGTATACAGTTAAGATTAATACTCGACATTAATCGAGTTATAAGATTACATATTACGTCGACATTTTAAAAACATTCATTTTCATGTTGGGTTTAAAAATTTTTACACCAATATGTGAATTTAATCATGTAGGAGTAAATTTTTTGATGAAAAAGTGCCCGATATTACAATTTTATATAGGCAATATGCCTATATACCATGACACATAAAAATAGCTAAATGCAAAAACTAAACTAAATAAATTTGTTTCTGATGTATGTACATATAAATATACATAGTGCGTATGTGAACTCCATTGCTTCTTTTTATAAAATTACTTATTTTTCCTTGTTCAAATTTGGAACAGCCGTCGAAATTATTGTATACATGACGTGCAGCATTATGCCAAGCTTCATCGCGTTTGATTCGATTGTTATAATGTTCATGGTCTCGATCCCATAAAATAGGACAATTTTGCATAAATTCAATCAAATCGTATATAGAAAACGGCAACGATTCCAAATGTTTTAATTTCTTATGCTTGTACATTTTAAACAAACAGTCTTAAATATATATGAAGTCTCTAATCTCTAACAATCGGCAAAATGCGACCCTGTTTGCATGTTCAACTAGGCGATAAAATAATCGTTCATATTTTTTCTACACTCTTTCCAAGTATTTTTATTATTTGCGTTTTTGTCTGTTACGCTCTTCACAAAATAATATCGTTTTACTATCGCCAATAAACGAAAAACGCTGCAAAAACAAGTAGATGAATTTCAATTTGACTTTTTGACGCGATTTTATTAAGCGACATGTCTTGTTAATATATTTTATTAAAATAATATTTTAATAAATAATGGTACATAGCATTCTATATTTCTTGCACTATATTACTTATATTTATTTATTATTGATTATTTAAACACTTTATTAAAAAAACCAACGAATTTGAATACGACAAAATATTAAAAACTCGGCACATCGCACACGACTACCATATGGTTAAATTAGAGTTACCAGGTGTTAATGTTTTATTAAAATCGCGTTAAACGTCCATATTATCATTGAACTTATTGCAATTTTTTTATACATATTGCAATAAAAATAATAAAATACTCTTAACATTATTTAATAATACTGTACAATTTATTAATATTATGTAAATGATTCTAATTGAACTATGAGAAGCTATATAACACTGTGATTAAAAAATAATATGAAATTTTAATAACGTTTCAAAATCTTTATATTATATTCTTCTAAATGTCAGTAATATCTTCTGATATATAACTCATGCCACTTTTTTTTTAGTCTTGTTTTCAAAAACAACTTTTAAACTGATTTTCTAAATAAGCTTTGTAGAATGCACCAATATGGTTTTTATCTCTTCAATAGTGACTGAATTAAGTCCCCGGACTGGTTTCTTGAGCTTAGGGTATAATTTTAAAATAGCGTGTATAGTTAAATCGCTAAATCAGGCGAATACTATAATTGTTGAGCGATATGAGTTATATTTGCATCATTGTCACTATAATACACATCGTTTCGCCAAAACTAAGAATTGTCTGGAATTCTCATTCTTCTAGTCTTTTTCTGCAAATAGCTTAATTTCAAAAAATTCTTACCTCTTGTTTGTTTTTTGTTTATTCACATTTTGTTTCATGTGCCAAATATCGATCACTTTCCTTTCGGGAAATATATTTTGCAACTCTGCATTCAACATTTTTGGTGTATTATTTTTGATTTATGCTTCAGTAAGTTAAAAAGCACGAAAGCTCTTTGTATGGTTAATCAAATCTTATTAACGACCTTAATCAAATAAACTGCTTTTTTGAAGCCAATGGGAATATACTATAAGTGCTGCCAATAAGTATGTACAAATGATTAATTTGTTTAATTACCGACGAATCTAATGATGTTAAGTTAATTTCATTTATGTTATTTTTAATAATGTGTACTTTTTTTTAATACACAAAGTAAATTAAACATATTTAGGTACAACAAGAAAAATAAACGAATTTTTTATAGTAAACTTGTGTGAAATGTTCGTCTAGTTTTATTTGCTTAATAGTATTGTTTTTATTAACTGTAACATATGTTATATAAAACATATTAGGGGTATTCATTGTGTCTTGCAAACACATTGCAAGGTGCATGAAATGCAATGAATAATAACAGAACGAACGATCAAAATTTCTTGCAATTGGTGGCAATCTTGCTATACCTACCAGGGTTCGTGTTTGCTCACTCATTAGCAAGAGCCAATCCTTATTGGGTCATATTGAAGAGCTGCTCACCAGCGTGAGCCTTCAAGTTACTCATATTGAAGAGCTGCTCATGAAGTCTCACGAGCCGAGAGCTCACGAGCTCAACTGTTTAATAAAAAGCGATTTATTAGTTTATTTGCGTTATTTATTTTTATAAATGTTATATGTGAAAATATATAATTTCATATTAAAACAATATAATGAAACAATAATTTGAATTTGAAAAACAAATTTATAAAATATTATTATTTTCCACAAGTAAACAATAAAAATATATTTATTATTTATTTTAGAAACTTTGATTATTTCCACATTTTAGTTAGTTTAAGGTTATTAATATTTCTAATCTTTTTTAATGACATGTTTTCACAAAAAAAAAAATAATAGCAAAATCTTAAATTGGGCGCATGAGATCTTATGAGCCGCAGCTCATACTCTTGCTCACGAGCGTGAGCCCATTTATAACTTAATGGCGGCTCTTGCTCGTGAGCGTGAGCGTGAGCTCTGTAGTTGGGCTCGCTCGTGAGCGTGAGCTATCGTATGAAAAGAGTTTTTTGCCGGCTCATGAGCCGTGAGCAGAAGCAGAATGAGCCGCTCATGGGTAAGCAAATACGAACTCTGATCCCTACATCCTTGTATATATGCTTGCAACAATTGTAATAAATGTCTATGTAATACAACAAATTTGAAATGAAGTAAAATAAAGCTAAAACACTATTACTATATTATTAAGCTGTTTTCACATTTAACCTGCCTGTTCGTTTCTCATGTGGATGTGGAATGCTACAAAAACAGCTGTTTTATTTTAATATTGCAACTTTGCATCAGATGTGTTCTCGCACTCTTGCATTTTTAGTATAGCATTTTTGCATTTCATGCACATTACAATGACTTTGTAAGACATAGTGAATACCCTATTCATTTCAATTTATCCATGATCAAAATGACACTACATTGTTTATACCCATTCTTACTCATTATTCTTAAATTTTTCTATGCTATCATAGTTTTTATCAGCAATGTTTTCATTAACTTATTCATTAATTTCTATAGATAAATATATGTGAATACCTATATGTATCCCTAAACTAATTAAATCTATTGAGTGATAACTGATTTAAGGCATCTCTCTCTTTGCTATTTAAAAGCTGATCCCAGTTTTTTTTATTACATTTAATGTTATTAGTAAAAAAGTGAGATAAAAAAGTCTTACGCTAATTCCATTTAAAAATTCCAATTTTGTTAACAAGATTGTGATACAATTAGATGGAAAAAACATACCAAAAAAAATTCTGAACTTAGCCGAATGGCAAGTTGCATCATCCAATACTTAATACATTTTATTACACATTTTTATATGTAAAACGTAACATCGGAAATAAAGAAACGTAAGCACAGATTATTAAAACGAGTCTACATTACTGAAGCACTTCTATTGTGTGTAAAATCTACTCGTAAGTTCTTACCTCTAAACGAATGTATATTTTCGTTACATATTACAGATATTAAGACCTTCACTCTCAAATGCTAATGCAAGAAGCCGTATGTTCCTGAACAATGTCGTGATAACTCAAATATCGATCTTCCTGAGCCTTATTTATAATTTCATCTAATTTATTTGTTGGTACGGTGACCAGAGTGAGGGCCAACTATTACATTTAAATTCTAAGAAACAAAACGATTAAAGCGCTTGTTGACAATTGATTACAAAGAATATTTTTAATATAAAGTACAGAAATGCTTTTAGGTAGTTCTGTTACATCCTTCCCTAGGTCTCAAAGGTGTAGTTTCAATAAAATATACACCAATAATGATCTCATCTGTCGTCTGTCAAATAATAAAGGAAATACATGATACAACTAAACGATTCTACTTAAAATAAAATGACGCCGAATACTTTTTACCCAACCTAATATATTCTATTTTTCTTGAAATAAGCAAGAAATTTGGTTCTTGCTCGTTATGATCATAAAAGTCGTATTAAGTAATTAATAATCATTTTTCCTCCTTTCTTTACTAGGATGTAGCATGCAAATAAAATAAACTAATTTAATTTTTTTAAAATATTGAACTGTAGAACCCACAAACGTAATTGAAGAATGCAATTGCGAAGTTGCATGTTTAATATGAATCAATTTTTATTTTATAACCTAAACTACTTATTTTACACAGGAGCTGTTTATTTATTATATTTAAGGGCTATTTTGTAAATGAAATAACGTATTTTTTTTTTTTTGGTTTTTTATTAACAAAAGTTTACTGTGAAAATGAGTAAGCGTTAATAAGAAAGTTAGGAAATGCTTATAATTTTTAGATTTTATAGCAAAACTATATGAAACTTAATGTAGAGCGTATTGTGTAATATACGGAAATGACAAAACAAAAAATATGTATTTTGTGTATGTACTTTGTTTAGAATTTGAAGTGCATACGTTTTTTAAATGAATGTGTGGTTAATTGTATAGAATTTATTAACTTTTTACATGGGACGACCCATGCCTCTGCCCATACCCATACCGCCAGCCATAGGAGCATCAGCAGGCTTAGGGCTTTTAATGGTCTCATCAACAGATAATATCATACAGGCAGCTTCAGCAGCAGCAGTCAATGCATTAATTTTAATAATTGATGGCTCCCAAACGCAATTCTCATAGTTGTCAACAATATCTTCTTTAGTAATGTCAACGCCAAACCATTGCCCATCTGAAAAATTAAAAGTTACATTTATATAATTAATAAAGTAATTAAAACAAAATATTTTAATTTTTACATCGCATAATTTATAAAAAAAATGGTGTTTTATTTTAAATTCGCAGATTCTTTAAAAACAATATTCTTTGAATGTGAAGCATAATTTGATGAAATAAACATTCAAAATTTTAGCAAACAAAAGAAATATATAAATTTATTTTTAAGTATCAATTATTTAAAAATTGACTATTAAAAATAAATACATATTTAATACTAATTAAAATAAACAATATATAAATAAACAAATTGGATTAATCCATCTGAAATATATAAACATATATATACACATACATATATGTATATGTATAAAGTACATTTAAAAAATTCTATTTTTATAATTTTAAATTTTTGTTTAGTTCACAAATGTTTTCTTTATTATTTAATACTTATGTTTTAAGTTTTGTTTTTATTTTATCTTTAACTTGTTTATTTTTTATTTTATTTTTTTCTTTTCGTTTTGTGCTGTTATTTTATTTCTGTTGTGGCTACGTGACTTTCGTTATAAACAATATTGATAAAAACATTGAATTTGTTCAAAACAAAAAATAATATTTAAAAAGAGAATTATAAAAAATGGCAACCAGTTTTATAAAACGAAAGACGTGTACTTTTAATCTTATTTATAATCATAGTATGGAAAATAATATACATATAATTTATATATATATTTGTATATATAATCATATATTATGTCAAATAAATATGTATGTATATTTATCCCTATTCTTTTTTTAATGGAATAAAGAAAAAAATGCTTTAATATGAATATGAAATAAATTATTAGTGGGGGAAGAGGAAACAAACGTTTTTTATATTGACGTTTTGTTAATATACTACTGTCATATTGACAATAACTTGTATAGAATAAGCATTAAAGAAGTACAATCGTACAATCTTATCAATTTAGACCAATATGGGAGTTGCTACATAAACCAAGAAAGTTTTTATAAATATTATAAACTATCCATGCAATGTTTTACCTCCAATAGTAAGGTGATAGCTAAACAAACATATATGTTTATTTTGAGAACGATACATTTTCTATATATGTACATACATATGTAGAGAATTTACTGACTTTTTATTTTATCTTGTAGAACACAAAATTAATAAAATAATGCGAAATTTGTAATTATTTAGAAAAATGTCAGTGGCAGTCTATATTAGGTCTGTTCTACGAGCTAATCGTAGTAACTTTGAGTAACACTGTGTATACACAAGTGTGTTCCACCGGCAAATTTTCCAGTAAATGAGAGCATCTAAGACAGCGTAACATCCCTGTCGAAATTTGAAAATGCTATACAGACTACTCGTACATTTTATTTAAAGTAAAATTTATGTTGATTGTAAAATCTGTGTTAAGAGCGTAATTTGGCATTTTATTTGTGTTACACGCTCTTAGTTTGTACTTTACTTGTGTTTTACTGGAGTTTTACTATAAGTAGCTGGTGGAACAGACTTATTATGGTGGACGTGGTCAATCACCATTCAAGCACCGTGGTCATATAAAAAATTTTGAACAGGTGCGCCAAATAATTAATTGAAGATGTCGGATAAATATTAAAGGAACTATAAACATATATTGAATGGAAACCATCTAGTAAATGTCAAGCAAGTGTTCTCTTCCTTCCTTAACCTCCTTTGACTTTTATAGTAGTTCATGAATGAGACTATTATCTAATCAGAATACCTTTTAAACAGTGTGCAGTTGGTTATCGGAATTAATTGGAGAGACGTGAGCAAGACCAATCAGTTGTTTTGTTCTTATGTAATTATGCACACACTATGTTACTGAGTTACTCATATCTAGTGTAAAAGATATGAGTGAGTAGTGGCGAACTTCCTATCCTCATGACAAGTCAATTAACCCGATTAATTTCTTTATTTGATCAAAAGTGATGAATATTATTGCTAATACAAATATATAGAATATATGAAACTATTTCCCAAAATTAATTAATACCATACATAGGTGGTACTTCATGTTGTCAACATATTAAAAAGATTGCTTTATCGGTAATCATAGTCTAACTATAAAATATACAAACTGCGCAAATGACCACTAATCACACAGTGCGATATTTCTAGTTTAATAAACTTTTGCACAGAAACTCATAATTATTCGGCGTGGCACAATATATTGTGCACTCCCAACTGAAAACTGGCCAACACCAAATGTGAATGACCGCAGTTGAACGTGGATATGAAAAATCAACAACATCAACAACATCAACAACAACCAACGGCAAGAATAAACGTCAAAGTATAAATGCCAGCCAAACAATTTAGAAACTAAAAGCACCACACCAAAGTACCCGAACCTAGGCGTTGGCGTGGGCTTTTCAAAAATATTAGAAAAATACTTTGTAAAAAACTATAACTTAAGAAATTTAGAAAATAAGTAAAAACAAAAAATATTAAAAAAAAAACAAAACATGATATAAACGGAAATAGTTTATTTCAAATTTTCAAAATGAAAACTTCATGGTAAGCAACAAAAGTTTGATCAAATTTGTTTGCATAAATGGATTTTCTGCAATGATTTTTTTTTTTTTGTTTTTGTTGGTTTGTAGGCGCTAACACTTAAAGCACTAAATTAAAAAATTTGCGCATAAATGAAAATGTCGGCTAACAATGCCAGCCAACGACATGCCATGCCAGCAACCGAAAAAAGGATTGGTGATTGCCGTTTGCTGATTGCTGAATGCAGCACAAAATGCAATTTTCCAACAGCGAACAATGATTTTCCTTCGAAAATTTGTTACTGTTTTTGACTTGACATAAAACATTTTTTTTATTTATTTTTGAGTGAAAAAAACGCGAACATTTGCAACATTTAATTTTCATCTTTTTTTTAAAACATTATTTATGTGGGTGTTCATTTATAGCAAGAAAAAAAATAATTTTGTTCGCTGCAATCACTTCCCATAACCAAATCCAGTATTAGTGGATTAACATATAGCATTTGTTATTTGTTATTTGTTATTTGTCCATAAAGAACTGCAGTTTACTTACCTTTAGCATGCTTTTGCCTGAGTTTGTTCAATATATTTGTGGCATCAAAGCCAGCATTATCGCACAATTGACGTGGAATCACTTCGAGCGACTTTGCAATGGCCGCAATAAGCAATTGTTCCTTGCCGGCTATGGTGCGCGAGTAGTCACGCAATATTTTCGATAGTTCCATTTCGATAGCGCCACCACCTAAAAACAATAACAAAACATATATAAGTATTAATAATAACGAAAATAAAAGCTTTCAAAAATGTTGCTGTAGACTTCACAATATACAAATTATAATAGCTAGATTTAGTGTAATACACTAAATATATGTTGGTAAGTGAGGAACTGGAAATCGTTAAAGACTTAAGAATCAAAAAAGTTGAACAGTATATATTGTCTAAAGTTCACTTAAAGTTCACTGAGTACACTTAAACCAACAGTAACTTTATTGCCTCTGGTAGATATGCTGAACTAATTATACTGTTTAATTATACTATAAAAATATTCAGATCCAACACCAATCTGTAGTAGAACCTCAAAGACTGAAACGCATTTAAAGAGTATATAAAAATGAATTGCAGTATTCTAAGACGTATTATTATTTCAATAATACGTCGTATAAAACCATTTCCTAAGGGAAGACTCAACGATATGCTGACATCTGTATGCAATCTGGCCATGTTCCTATAAAAGAAAATCCAAAATTCTCATTGAGCTACCCCGTAAAGATATCAGTCTTTTGGTAGGTTTACTTACAGATCACTGTAAACTAGGAAACCATGCTAGAAGATTAGATCTCCTTTTTAATCAAATCTGTCACAGCTGTGAGAAAGACGATGAGAGTGCCTCTCATCTACTATGTTTTTACTCAGCTCACGTACGGCGGCAACTAAATACTTTACGAGCCCCTTTTCTTGATGATCTTGATCAATTGCAGGACCTGACACTAAATAGCATTTTAGGCTTCGCCAAAGGTTTTAGGTGGTTTTAAACTCTGAGTTTTTCCCACATATACGATAACACAATGGGCCAAAATACATAAGTGGATCCACTAGGAATCGCCGGTATAACCTAACCTAACCTAACTATAATAGTACTATATAATATATATACTATATAATATATAATAACTATATAAAATTATAATCTCCTATAATAGTACACATGAAAACTTAACTTGCAACTAAATTTTAAGATTTGAAGTTCGTATTAGATTGATTTCAGTTCGTATAGGGGATAAAAGGTCAATTACTAATATATACAAACAAGAACTTATAGATTTAAGACTAAAAAATAAACCAAGCAAGTGTTAAAGTTCACAATTTTCCGCAATTTTAGATCTTTTAAGCAATAAGCACAAGCTAATAGTGATAAAGGCACTGTCAAAGTGCTCATATTAAACAAACAAAATTATCGGAAAACTGAAGAATCTAAGTGTATAAGTATAGTTTCAAGCACTTGAACAAATTTACGAATTTATAAAATTGAAATCAATTTAGAATAAATGAAAATAATTGATTGGTCATTTTTTAAAATGAAAATGAGCAAATATTTATTTTTTTCAAGTCAAGTGATAAAAAACAACTTCAGGAATACTTAACTCAACAACGTCAGCAAAAGCAATTACATACTTTAAAAAATTTAATAATAAATAATAATATGTTAATTTTATTTATTAATCAATAGTCAATACGTCAATACGTCAGTCAATAAACAACGAGTTCGTACGATATTCTAATTTTATCTAAATACAATTGTAAGCCAGTTAATATATATGTTGATCAAAATGAATGCTTTGGAAGTAGAAAGTTGAAGAAACCTACAGAGTGTAAACTTTTACATCTCTTTGGTGTACCATGTAAGCATATCGCAGGACTTCAAACAATCTAAGATAAATAGTTTTCAACGGTATCCCAATGAGTCAAGCCAATCCACTTGAGTGGATTCCATTTCTCAATAAAATAATATTTTTACAGATAGTATTTTTTTTTAAATTTTAATAATTAATAAATACCGACGGCTTTAAAGGATTTTTGTTCATCTTTAGTATACATTTATCAAAAAAAAAACGCGGTTAAATTAAGATATGATATGAGGTTAGATATACACGTCATTGATAAATCTAGAGTAGACTTCTATCTTAATTTAACAGAGTTCTAAAAATAATTGTAAGGATTGTTTTGTTGGTTGCAAAAGTATATCGTCACGTTTATAACTCTACACATAGACTCTTTACAGTCAGGCAGTTATCAATACACTAAGCCCTGAGTTTTTAAATGCAGTCAATCGTCAATTACTGGTTCAAAGCTATAGTGAATGTCAGTAAAGATATATAATTTGTTGTTGGTTTTTTTTAATGAAATAGATCCTACCACTCGAATTCGAAAAAAGGAAAACAAATTAATGCTCCTTCAACGGCCTTTACGTTATACCGCACTTTTTTTTCGAAAATTTCAACAAATGTGATTTTAGATTTCAAATTTTCTTTATTAGATTAAATGGGTTGATAATTAAAACTTTTCAAAATAGTACATAAATAGAAATAACATGAAATACATTTTTGTTATCTGATTAATGACAATTTTAATTATAAAAATAAATTTTTAACTCTACAATTACACGTTTTATTTACAAGTATTTCCATATATTCCTTGATGTATTAAGTAAAAAGTGATTTTTAAATTATCTTAGTAACATAGAAGACTTAGTTTAGATCAAATTGCTTGCTTTTTAAATCCAAAATAAACTTAAACGGAATTGAAATTTTGTGAATGTATTTTAAATGTTGCTTAAATTTACATTTAAATCTGAACATGTCATCGTAGACCTTTTGTTGGATTCCCTATTAAAAGTACGCTTTTTACTTTTATTTAGAAAATCGTTGACCCAAATTTATTGAAGCAAATCGTTCGCATTATGCAGTCCGCAGTTCTACTTAAAACTCACTTATATAAATTCAACATTTGCTTTGGGGAAGATTTGAAAAACTAAAAATAAAACAAAAACTCGAACAAAAATATCAGATTTTGTAAAACTGATATGAATCTGCTTTTTACACATATTTTTCATAAACTATGTTATATATACTAAATACAAATAATGTAACAGCAAAACAAAAGCATTATGAAAACAAATTGTAAAGTAAATGAAATCAAAAGTATTTATTTATATGCTGTAGATGATTATTATCAGAAATATATAAAATATAAACGACAATTATTAGGGATATTCACTCTGTCCTGCAAAGTCATTGCAAGGTGCACAAAATGCAAGAATGCTATACTAAAATTGCAATAGTACAAAACACCTCTGTTACAGAATTGCAACATCAAAACGAAACAGCTGTTTTAGCAGCATGCCACACACTTCTACACGAGAAGCAATAGATATTGAAACAGCTGTTGTTTTTTCTTTTTTGTTTTATTATAAGCTTATATAAATGGGTTTAGGTGTAGCAAGATTGCAAACAATTGCAAGAAATTTTGTGTGTGCAATTTGTAATGTTCATTGCAATCTCGCGCATTCTGTGCATTTTTTGCACCTTGCAATGAATTTGCAAGACAGAATGAATACTCGTATTATATATTAGGGTAAGTAGTTTTAGAATTACTTGTTTTGGAAATAGAACATCAAAAATTTATTCTCAATTTCAAATTTGCACCACTTTTTTTTTAATTTGTGGTCAGATGATTGTAGTTTCATTCCCCTTCTAAAATCATTATATATATATACAGTAAACCCCCCTATAACGCGATACCCTTATAATGCGTTTTCAATCCCCCATAAAACACGGGCATTCCATATAATCCGGGGATTTGTACAGTTCATATTTAGCTTCGCGTACCTTTGCACGTGTCTATACGGGGTGTACGGGAATACCCCTATAACGCGGAGCCAATCTACCGCGTTATAGGAGGAATTACTATATTATGACAGCTCGTTAATGCCATCGTCTTCGGAGTTGTATCTGTTTTTGATCAAGACAATTTTTTTTTATTTAATTTAAATTAAATATGTATTTTGTCAAATAATGTTGTGACATTTTACAATTTTTTTAAAAATGAGATTTATGACTTGATAGTTTACAATTTAGAAAGTTCTCCCTGTGGATAGCTACTCGTTTTTTTGAATAAAAACTTATAATATGTGATCCACTCAATTCAATAGCGTGTCATAGTGATTCGCAAATGGAATTTTGGTATTTTAAATATCATTTATTCACTTCAATTTTTTACTAAATATCGGTTCTCCTTAAGTTTCTGAAGTTTCTTACTACAGGCAACCCGATATTTCGTACCATTATAAATAATTTTGTTAATATTTTTGGTGATACAGCGATCAGGATGAGAATATAAAAATTTCCTTAACAGAAAAGAGCGTGTGTATAAAAAGTACTACAGATGACAAAAAAATAAATTTAAAAAAAAAAAAGAATTATTTATTATATTACAATTGGAAATATGTTTCAAAGAAACTTAAACTACTTTTGGAACATAAAACTATAAAATAATTTGGAAATTCTTAGAACACATTTTAAGCTTAAATTACTAATATTACAGGAAAAATAACCCCAGAATCATCAATAGCACCAAATAAATTTGTAATTTGTATTAACCACAATAATAGATTTTCAAAAAAAAGTTTTTTTTAAAAAGATTTAATCTCAAATAGCTTAAAAATAAAAAGATACAAATATTTGAATCAAATTTTATTTTTTTACTTAATTTGGCTTATTTAAGTGTTACCAAAATTCACCTTTAATATAAACAATTTAATACATTTGAAATATTAATAAAGGAACACATGACCAAACCTTTTTTAATAGTTTAGTACAATTAGTATAAGTATACATATATAAGCACATATACTTATATAAAAATACCTAAAGATACTTAAAGATTACTAAATTGTTGCCAATATTTGCATTTTCCCAAGGTTTGGCAAATACTTTAGTCAAAAAAAGCTGTATTGGAAAAAAAATGCATTTGTTTGAGGTCTTCTCTTTTGTATTTAAGTTGAAAGGTTCCCATTGCCGTTAGAAACGAAGGTTTCAATAAATAAAATAATGAATCATTATATTAATTTTTTTTCTTAAATTCAAAATACAATTTATTTGAGTGCGCAAAAGCAGATAGAAGTTTCATGCAAAAAAAATAAACTTAAAAAAAAACAACCATATTTACGTACATATATATACATGT